AAATCAAAACAAAATTCACGAGATCCAATTACAGAAACTAAAACGCCTTTTGACAGTATCGTATGGATTATACCGCCTCCGTCATGATATTGTTCCAGTATGTCCACAATGGCAAACTTGCGTCCCTCCTCAGGCATCTGGGCAACGATGTCCTCTGAGCTGAAGATGGGCTCAAGGTAGAGCCACATAGCCTGACACTTCAACATGGCATCTAGTATGTCCTGCATACGTCCTGCAGCTTGTCCTCCCATTGCTATTTAGGAAAGTATCAGTAAGAATAACACAACTGCATTTAAAACGAGCTTTTGTTGTATCTCATAGTCATAGCATTTCTAATGTAGAATTTACCAACGACTAAATTCAGATAAATGTCTTAAAGAATAAATACAAGACTAGACATGTACATAACTGTAATATTAGCATGGAAGAGCATAAAAATGGAAATTCAGAAAAATATACACTAAAAGGATAAATATATTGTAATTTCGTTGCCTGAGGCTGTGCTTAAGCAGGTCAAGTAATTTTGTTCTTGTTGGAAACAGAGCTTGCATATCACTTACTCAGACCGCTTTTTAAACGGAAGTGCACGCTAATCCCACAGATGTTTGAATTTGAATTTTAGCAGTGCCAGTGCCCCATTATTACATCTAGTACGCATTCAAATACAAATATTAAAATCAAAGTAAAACACCTGCATCCATTATAAAGCAGCAGGAGTGAGCCACCTGCAGAGTTTCATGTTTATGTAATTACACACCAGTCACAGTGGCACTATTTTTGCATGCAAAATGTTGGAACAACATGAACAGTAGTGCTGCTGCTTTATTCTATAAGCAAGGAGGGAATGAAGAAATTATGTCTGCTCCATATCTAGCAAAGCCTGTTCTTTGTTGATATGCTGTATGGAGGAAGAACAACAACAATCGTGCAGCACCCTCTGGCCTTACAGGATAAAGAAAGGTCTATTTTTTAACAGGTACAAAAACTATTTAAGCTACATTACCAAATGAAAAGATAACATGTGTACTTTAAGGGAAGTAAGAATGTAGCCTCTCTGACCTCCAGCTCAGTGACAGCATCCACCAGGTTGGTAGTGATTTGAGTGAGATTTCTCACATTGTTCTTTATTTCCTCCATGTTCATCAGTTTCTTTTTCTTAAAAGCCAGTATCTCTTTCTGCACATCTTGCAGCCTCTGGTTAAAGCTAAAGACCCTGAAACAGTCAAATGGGGACAGGGCAGTCAGTTTGAATTGTTGGTATTTACATTAAAAAGAAGCTGGGAAAACAGACAGTAAAGCTGCATTTCTTACCTTGTTTGAAGGTGGTCCTCAATCTGTTTTCTGTTTATTTAGACTTGCTCTGCTGTCTTCAAGCTCAGTCACGATCTCTTCTGTAGTTTTTGGGGTGCCTCTGACCATCTTAGTAATTTCCTCACTCTTTTCACATATCCTAGTGAAAAAAAGAACAGCTGACCAACCATTTTCCCACCATACCCTAAAAGCGATAACAGTAAAAAGTCACAAAATATGTTCTCTGCACTATGTGAACTGAAAAACTGCAAAAAAAAAAAAAAGGTGAAACAATGTACATTAGATATCTATTTTTTACATATATGAAATATGTAAAATAGCATTTTTTTTTTTGTTTCTAGCTAACACTGTTTTGCTGTATACCTTAGCTTGAGCTGGATAAATCTTCTCTGTCAAGGGCACTGTCTCCTTTTCAGAGTTGATATTTTGCCAGTAATCGCCATGTCCTCAGTAAATTCCAGCTTCGCAATGCCTTTAAAACACTTCTTCAGGTGGGGTTGGACACACAGGGGGTCTCTGGTCTGTGGCAGAATCTCCAGGAGCTCATCATTAGACAGAAAGAAGAATCCGGAAACACAGTGAACTGATGACACTGTAATTAATAGATACACTGTTTTTAATTCTTTACAATCAGATGTTGACTTTCCTTCTTTCGTAAGAGAATGCTTTCTTTTTAGATCATATATTTAGATTCTATTGTTCTAATTGTATTAACATATAAATATATTTGATACTTTTTTGTATCCGCAAATTATATTTGTGTCAATTTGTCCATTTTCTTAGCTGCTTATCCAATATAAGGTAAAGGGGTTGCTCAAGCCTGTCCCAACTGTGACAGTACATCCTGGATAGGTGGTCAAAAAAACCTTGTCAGTTTGTATCAGCAATGCAAAGAAGACATTGTGTACTTTGATGCCACTATAGTAAGAAAAGAAAGTGCTGGAATGCCACCATACTATGTGTATGAGTTGGTTGTCAGAAACCCATCCAAAGGTGCACCTCCTCTTCCTGTTGCTACATATGTCATGTGTGACCATATTACAGCCTCTGTAACATACTTCTTGCAGGCCTTTTAAACAGATCTGTTGAGAGCTTTTGTAAATCGGGCCTACAAAAGGCCTGTCATGTTCATGTGTGATGGATCACTAGTACTCCTCTGCAGTGTTGGTCAAGTTACTTGAAAAAAGTAATCAGTAACTAATTACTGATTACTTCCCCCCAAAAGTAATCCTGTTACTTTACTGATTACTTATTTTCAAAAGTAATTAATTACTTAGTTACTTTTTAAAAACACGATTTACAACCTGAATAGGTGATAAAGCGATAGATCTTTCAGCCCAATTCTACTTTTTCTACATAATCCATCATACAAAATGTAATCAAATGAAAAAGTTTTTTTAACTTGTTTTATCAGTTTTAATCTTAATCTTTTTAATCTTAACTTTATGCATCAAGCATGTAATTATATGCAACATTCTCTGACTTGAATAAATTAGTTTAACATTTAAACCTATTTTCTACACATTCCAGCACATAAAATAAAAATTTTTTTGTGTTTACACTCACTCTTTCAAATAGATGCAAGTAAAACACAGCAGGAAATAAATAAAGTCAAAGACTCAGCGGTCCTGTTGCTCTATTTTCACCTGTAAAGCAGGACTGCGGTAGGCGGAGGTTTACCCTGGTGCAGGTGTGCCGCGGTCAGTGGAAGAATCCGCGAGTTTCTCTGTGAATTTGCCATTACATCCTTGCCACTCGGTGCTTGCTTGGAAGTTTAGGGGTTTTTTTCGCTGTAAAAAGAAGTTTTCTTCCCACGCACAATGGACACTAATGTTTTTGTCACTTTTTATGGAATCAAACTCAAAGTAAGGTCAGTACTTCCACGCTTTAAACGCTGTACGCTCATACTCTCTCCCACAATCGATATGTGATCCATTGTTGATCTGCACACAGCTGTTGTCACTAACAGCGCACTTGCTTACTTCACTGTTGTGAGACATTCTGCAAAAAAATCACGGTTTTAGTAACGCAGTAACGCAGCGTTCCTACGGGAAAGTAACGGTAATCTAATTACCGTTTTTGCAATAGTAATCCCTTACTTTACGCGTTACTTGAAAAAGTAATCAGATTACAGTAACGCATTACAAGTAACGCGTTACTGCCCATCTCTGCTCCTCTGATCCATTTCCATCACATTCTGCAGAACAAGTTGTGAAGATCTGCTGCAGAAGAACTTTCTCTTGCTCACTGGCAAACATTCATCACAGACATTCAACGTTCCCATTCTTCATCGGTATTTGAGCCACGTCATGAAAAATGCCAAGGACCTCTGTAAAAAACAGTATGCACATTTACATCAATAATTCTTTGAGAATATAACATTTCTAATTTAAAGGTACTACTAACAGTGATTCCATTTATTTCTTTCCCCAGCATTCCAGAGAACTACAGGCTTGGAATGCATCTATTTGGGCTGCTTGCATGTTGTGCTAACTTAAAAGACATGGATGAGGTTGTCCATAGTGCAGCAGTAGTGTTTCGCAGTCCTTGTAGTGGAAGGAATATAACAAAGCATTACAACAACCTGAAACTCCTTATGCAAAAAAGGGGGACCCTAGATGTGGATGAAAAGACTGTGATTGCTGAGGACTACAAAGTTAACTTATATTTATTAGTAAAGTAATATTAGTAATAAATGTTTATTTGTCTCTGTCCCATAACAATTCATTACTTTATATTATTAAAAATAACAATGTATTTTTAAAACTCAATAATCTGTTAAAAAAATGAAATAACTATGAAAACATGCTTTCATATGTACATACTTTAATGAATTTAACATTGCATGAAAGTAAGAATTTTATTTTATTTTTTTGCTTTGAGATATTACTGAATATATATAAGTTTTACAGACTGATGTTCAGAACGCCCCTTTGAAGACCCATTTCCAGGAAATTGTTGACAGAGCAACACTGGACTGTGAGGGTGAACGAAACCTCTTTTATGCCGAAATGTATTTCAGGTCTGGTAAATCACCTTCTACCACATGCAACTTTGTGGTCAGCACTGATGCTCAGTACATTTTATTTTTTGTATTATTTTTATAACTTGTCATTTATAAATAACTGTAAAAGTGACAACTCAGTAAAGATTTGTCAGTCAGTAGCTTTTGTTTGTTACTTATATTTTTGAAGTATTTGGATGCTCCTCAGGGGATCTTGGACGTCATGGTACTGATCCTGATTAACTCCATGGTGACATTCAGCAATCCAAGAACCAGGTATCATGAAGAGAAGAATAAGTGTAAAAGAAACAGAAATTGTAGATAAAATTGAAATACATAGATTGTTTAACTCACTATGTACTATTACATTACATCATTTTACACAAGACAACAGAAGCCAGGGAATCATGGAGAAAAGCCAGTAGGACATGAAAAGAATCCGTATCCAGAGAAGGAGACTGACACGGCTTGATGACTTTGTTGACATATATCAAAAAATGCACGATGCCCTCCTTCTTGAATATGCAAACATGAAAATATCAAGAAAGTATGAACAATTTCCTGTTACTAAAAATGATATTTTATACAAATAGAGCAACATAGTCAGAACCAGTGAAAATATTTGCCTATGTACAGAAACAACTGGTGATGGAATCTGTAAGCATTAAAAGTATGTCTGTATACTCAACAGGCATGGAGAAATGGAAAGACAAACACAGTCTGAGTGACCCAGGGTCTGTGAGCAGTTGTGGACTTGTATAATATCTTATATGTATGGTTGCTGCTATGCTGCTGTCCCTGTTTCCATGCTTACATGTATAGGCAGGTGTTTGTGTGTGGGTGCGGCTGTATCCGGTAGGCCGGGCTACAGGCACCTTCAGGCCTGGTGGGTGTGGCCCTGCCAGGTGGCTGGCCACACCTGAAGATGATGCCACGCACCTGCAGCTGATCAGCCTTGTCAGGGGAGCTATTTAAGGGTGTGATTGAGCTCCTACTGATGTGCGGTTGTTGTGTGAGACGGCATGTCAGTTGTCTTACTGCGCAAAGTCTTTTGAGTGTATGCAAGCTGTAGTTGTGTATCCTGACAGCTGCTTCTGTTATTTTCCCCCCAGGCGGGGCATGGAAACGAGAGGGCAGCAAGCACGGGGTGTGCGGACACACGGGAGCTGAAAATACAGAGCACGGACTTCGGGTGTAGAAAGACACGACAAGGGAGTCAGGGGAGCGCACGGGGATCTATTGTGTAATATTCACAGCACTGTCAATAAACGCACTGTTTTCTGCACCAGAGTCCTGCATTGTGGGTCCTGATTTCCCCACATCCCCACGGTCTGCCAGCCATGACAGTGTGTACGTGTCACCATTAGTGACAGGCTTGCCACTGAAAAAAGAGAAAACTGAGGTATGTTTTAATGTTCCGTTAATTTCAAGAATTAAATGACAACCGGACTTTCAATTCTTTAAGCTCACAATTATCCTTTCGTCGTTCTATAAAATAAACAAAAGAAGTCATTCAAAAATGTTATTTGTTAACAGAGAAAGACACGACTCCCATGGTTTCTGTCAAAACCTTGGAACAGGAACAGCTCAAACAACATGATATTGTCTAAAACCAGGTATTTTACGTTTATTTTTTGTCTACCGTTGTGTGTTATTATCGTACATGAGTCTGATTATTGTCACATGTCTGTCTTTGTAGGATGAAAGCCAGGAACAAGTAGCTGTTTGCCAGAAAACTGCAACATACATGGCTAAGAAAGCGTCAGTCACATTTTGGAAAGGAGATTTCGGTGCCTTCGAAATGGCTGCAATTGTGAATGCTGCTAATTGAACTCTTTCTCACATGGGCAGACTTACAAAGGCACTATTTACCACTGGTGGATGTAATATCAAAGCAGAGAGCAATGTCTTCTTTGCCAAAAATGGCAAATTAAAGACAGGACAAGTAGCGGTAAGCAGGGAAACTACCTTGCATGAAGCTTATTCATTTGGTAGGCCCATTTCTGCAGAATGACCCAACAGTGCGCATGATATCCACTGCTAAAGTAAAATAAAATGATAAATTAGTCCACAAAAAGTAGCAGTCATTAAATAGATTCAAACTTTTTTTTTTTTTTTTTTTTTTTTTTTCAGCTGTTATGATTTCTAATCAAACACACCCCACAAATATTATGTGTAATATATCAGCATTAATAAAGTGTTTTACAAGAACAAGAGTAACTGAGACAAGTATGAATTTCTGAATTTTGTTTAACATCACAAATAAAACGCATTTCAATTATTGGACTTTATTTATGTAATCATGTAAAATCTGGAGATATTTTGTTGTTGTTGCATGATGTACTTTTTTTTAAAATTACATTTAAAACCATTGTAATCTATTACGGTACAATGAATGTTCTCAGAAGAATGAGTTTTTGAACTCATAACAAATTACTATTCTGTTGTTGACTCACAGCTCACATATTTGTGGAAACACCATGAAACAGAAGTTGTCTTTGTGGTCCTGTCTCAAATTAGAGGTAACGACTTCATCATATGTCACAGTGAGCTCCTGTCCCTTAGACCACACAGCTGGCTTGTAGGAGATGTATGTACTCCTAGTATTAAAAACAAAACAAAATTATTGCATAATGTTAAAGCTGGGGCAGATAAAAGATCACAAAATTTTATTTTGTGATCTTTGGAGCGATAGAAATCATCAGGAGACAAAGTTTGTCCAAGGTAAATTTTTATTTCATATATTAGAGATTTCTGATTTTGGAAATTTTGTAACGTCTTTAAATAAATGGAAAAAGTATTTCTGCAGATTTGTTATGAATTTCTAATGTGTCACAGGTGAACTTTGACAACTACAAAGCCATTGTATCATTTGTACACACTGGAAATATACACCGGAAGTCTGGTTAGTACTAGCAACATTTTTGTTACACTAATTTTTTTTTCCATTAACAGTGTTCATAATTTATGTAATTTTAAAAACTAGATCTATCACAGTCCATAACTGCAATGACAGCTCTCTGTATTTGGTCGATCCTTCAAGAAAGTCTTTGGAGCAGGAAGAGTCTGACCGGGTAGCCCAAAGATTCTGGTAATTATGCATTATTTACGTCTTTATCATTATAACAAAATATTAGGTATTCTGTGATGTCATTAGAAAAGTGACAGGACCAAGGGCCTTTATCTAAAGGTGCTTTCGAACTGCGTGACACAGACTGCCCTCTAACATAATTTTTTTTTAATTTGTAGCTTAATAAACTCCACTAAAGATGAATAAAGAATTGTTAGAAAACAGTCATCTTACATGAATTACAAAGGATTAGTATCTGAATAGGGCATTCACCTGTTTATGGAGGACATCTGTTTCTATATTTGAACATATGGTTGGAGATGAACTCAGGAGTTCAATTCCACCATCAGGCCGGGGTCTTTCTGTGTGGAGTTTGCATGTTCTCCCCGTGTTTGCGTGGGTTCTCTCCGGGTACTCCTGCTTCCTCCCACCGTCCAAAGACATGCAGCTTGTGGGGATAGGTTAATTGACTAATCCAAATTGTCACTAGGTGTGAATGTGCGAGTGAATGTGAGTGCGAATGGTTGTCTGTCCCTGTGTGTTGGCCCTGCGACAGACTGGCGACCTGTCCAGGGTGTACCCCGCCTTTCGCCCTATGACAGCTGGGATAGGCTCCAGCGCCCCCCGCGACCCTGAAAAGGAAAAGCGGAAGCGAATGGACGGATGGATGGATGGATGGTTGGAGATGAAAGGGTAATAAAATCCATGGTTATCAGTTATTTAAACAAGTATTTCCAAACTAGACACAAGCAATTTCCAAAAATAAAAATACCCTTACAATGCTTAAGGAGAAAGACATTAGCACAATTTGTAGATTTAAAAGAACATATGTATTTTAACTTCATGTAACATAATATAGATCACAGGGCATTCTCACACAGCTTCAAAAACATGTTGAGATTCATTCATGTGTCTGTCTGATTCATGAAAAAGAAGAGAAGGATCATTTTGTGTGTAACTTTTATCATGCAACAGAAACTGTACCTGCTGTACTGATATTTTCACTTTAATTCTATTTTTGTTTGTTTGTTTGTAATGGACGCATTCCCAAAGAAACCTGAAATTACATTTTGACAACTAAAAAAGAGATGGCCAGGCACAAAGGACATTGCTGCAGACAATACTTGAGGCCTCAGGTGTGTAACATCTTTAAGTTTCATTTATTTATTCGTGTCAAACTGCTGAACACTAACATATATGTATATTTTTCCATGTATTAGTATTCAACAGTGACAACTGTGTCATGTGTGCAACAGTGAAACCACCCAATCCAGGACCCTCCATCACTGACTGGGTACAATGTTTTAAAAATAGTTTTGTTGTCTAGGATGACATATTTGCTTCTGATTCAAATTATTTTATTTATGTACTTATTTACTTTATGTCTTTATGAAAACTCATGTATTTGTTGTTCACAGATTCAGTGTGATAACTGTAACCGCTGGTTCCATTCTGAATGCCTGGACATGGAAAAGGCACAGCTCATCAATGCACAGAACAGAGTGGAAGTGTATGCTTTGTCTAACCTAAGTCCACATGTAGTAAAAGCCACTGACTTGTTTATTTGTGTCAGTCATTATTGGTGTTTTGAGGAACACATGTGCAAAATACATTATTGATAACATTCTTCCTTTGAGCACATTATTTAAAGGTAAGGTAACCATGCAGGTAGGAGTTATGCATACAGGAATTAACATACACATGCTAATTTCTACAGATTACAATGGCTTATATTTCAGTGTTCTAGATAGAAATCCCAGAGGACTGCTAAATGGTCTAACCTGAAATACAACAGACATACAAAGGTATTGATGGAATCCCAAAAGGTGGCACTGTAAGCGATCCCTGAAAAGGAGTCTGACATGGGCCTTACAGAGTGGACAGGGTTGAAACATGAGCCAGCACCTACAATTGGATTTGCCTGGGCACATACTGCAGCTCTATGCCAGCGTAAAGCTACACTACAGTTATTAAGTGTGGACATTAGCATACAAGTTTCAGTGACAGGCTGCCTGTTTTGAGGCAGTCTGTTAAATTGGCAATACTCACTTTTGAATCAGTTCGTCTCTTGTACTTTGGCACTGTCTCTGGACAAACTTCAAACTCAGATGGTAGGAGGGGGAGGTTGGAGGAGAAAAAGGTCCTCCAGCTTGATAAACCTCAAGGAAGAAAAGCTGAAAGGAGATCAAAGATAATGACTTGCATTTCACACTTTAAAAGTTACACTTTTAATTGGTTCAGTCAGTTAATTAATACAACCTAGTACAGAAATTCAGCTTCACACCACAATACTCATGCTGTTTCTCTTTGTATCTGGCATAACATTTTAGCTTTACATCTTAGAAACTGAGCTGAATTAGCTGTGGGGGAGGCATGAGGTTGTTTCCTGTGTGCTCAGTATGACAATTTACAAGTGAAATTCTTCACTGAAAATATCCCATGCACTGCAAGTAAAACAGCATAATCTAAGTGAACAGGAAGAACACATTACCTGCTTAGCCACATCTCCTGCAGTAGGAGCATAATATGAGTGACAGCAAAGAGATGCTGTCTTTGCCACAACTTAACATCCCTGTAGCTGGTTGCCCAGGACACTGCACGAAAAAACCTCCTGGGGAAAAAGCTGAGGGACACTGCATATGGATAATCGATGACATTCAAATGGGTCCATGAGAATGTAGTTCACTGGTCAAATGATCATGAAAGAATCATTAGTTTTTGTCTGTTTAATTATAGAACAAATGCTAACAGTGGAGATGTGTGCAATCACTAAGGATTACTATCACTGTTTAGTACCTACGCTTTTCAAGCTGAAGTAATAATCTCTTTTGACTTCCTCTTCCATGGCAGCACTCAACTCTGGAGGGGTTTACTATCCTTAGTGTTGGGAGACAGCAGCTGCACGATGTTGATCATCTGCTGGCAGGGCTGGGGGGCCAACACTGAGCTGGGAACAGTGTTGATGTAGTATATTTACCTCTGTGACAGCAAAATCAAGGTCATACATGTGTTTAAAAAAAGGGGTTTAAATCAGCGTCTGACTAATTACACACTAAATTCAGTGATACTTGCTTCCAGGTCTGTGTCATTAGGTTCTGCCTGAGTGGCCCTGATCATCTTCTCTTGCTCAAGCATTGTGTCCAGCTGCTCTTCAGGACTCATAGGTCGCCTGCTGGGTCTGGGCAAGCTTCTAGACCTGGACCTGAAATGATACATGAGGAGATGCATCCCTATGAAAGGGTGAGTGAATTAGATCAAGTGTTTTAAGAAGAAGAACACCTTAAAGTTAAGTTACTGATGTCATTTGTTTGCTTAAATGTATAATTACCTGCTCCTTGGGGTTATTGCTTTCCTCTTTCCAGGTGGTGTTAGTGCTAAAAGCCAAATTAAGATCAAAAATATATACTGAAGTGAAGTTTCTCAGGCAAGTCTTAAGAAGTACTAAATTATCAGATAGCAAATCAAAGAATACTGCAGTCTCACATCGCTTTACAAAGCCTTCCCTTTTTAATCCCACAGCGAGACAAGCTCAAAAGGATACAAGACCCCGCTGGTTTTGCCAAGGATTGATGGAGAGTGTGTCGTCTGCGCTGGAGCTGATTAATTTTCAGATCCTTAGCCCAGGGCCTGTAGTTGTTTCCAATGGACTCACTGGGGGTTCGGTAGTGACGCTGCTCTTTAAATGGAACTGCCAGCGTCCATGATTTGATCTGGAGAATGGTTTGGTATTCGCTGTGCCTTAAGACGATCTGAGTTCAAATAAAAGGTTAAAAGGTGGCACAAGGATTTTTGCTTCTAACTCCAGACAATTACTTAACTGACTTTTCTAAAGCACTAGTTCATATGCGGCACCATAAACATTATTCTTATTTGATTGAGTTCGGAGGGTTCGCTGTTACAGCTCAAGGGCAAAGGTGGGGGAACAGAATATTCTCTCTTCTGACTTGTATTAAAAATGGAGTCGTCATCCATCTGTAAATTGGATGAAAACAGTGAGGGTTGGAACCAATGTTCCCTCTAATTTTTCATGTGTCTGAGCGAACACACAAACTCCCTGAGCGGTCCCGTGGACCACTGTGAGCAACAGCAGACGTGTGCACTGTGGTCACGCCAGCATCAAATCCATCCAAGTTACATGGTTTATTAAAATAATCAAATTACAGCATTTACATTTATGTTAGACTA